ATTAGAGGTGTTACAAGAGAGTAACAAACACAAAAAGGAGGAGGAGGAGATGAAGACGATATAATATGTTTGATAAGAAAGAAAAGGCAAACCACTCCAGAGCACCCACCAACCACCCAGTAAGTGATTTTTTTTAAAAGGAATATACTATAGGCCTATAACAATCCATGGAAATATGACTGCAAAATTGTGCTTGTGAGAAAAGGGAGCAAGGGTTGCTCAGACACAAAACTTAGATATCGTCCTATAAGAGCCAGCTCCACGTATTAGGGTTTTAGCTAATTTTTCAGGAGGAACAAAACGCTGATTAATGTAGGTATGTATGAATGATCAACACACCGGAAACGATCAAGCCCTTAAAGCGTATCATATGATACGTGATACGCGATCTAGGAATTCTTGGCTTTACTGTCGGTTCCGTATAATTCTTGTTGCGTCATCCAAGTTGTAACAACATTGAAATCTATTCCGCACATCTCAAGATGAGCTAATTTGGAAGCAAACAGCTATAATTAGTGAAACAGTTATTTGCTTTGTATAGCGATTTTAAGGCGGGGAACTCAATGAAACTTATACAGAAATGAAGCCCATGATACGCGCTTTCGATTGGTGAAAAAATAATTTTCGCGCCAAAATCATGATAGATCTACACGGATCAGGCTCTTATAGGACGATATCAAGAAGGGGCTTCAAGAATAGTCCGGGGGGCCTCAGTTGGCCCACGGGCCGCGAGTTATTATGTTCCTCTGATTTATGTACAGCATGATATTAGACTAGGCCATACGCCAGAGGTTTATTTTTTAGCTCTTTAATGTTTGGCCTAATGTATCTATATAAATATTCATTGTTATTATCATCATCATTATTATTATAATTCCCCCTTTTTTGGCATCCGTGAACTCAGTGTACCCATCTTACTCCTGATCTGTTGTCAAATATAATATCTCACTGTGACAATAATAATCTTGGTAAGAGAATTCGTCTCACGCTAGCCTCTGAACAATTCGTTCTTTCGAGCGTATCCAAGTATCCTAGCCAAGAGGGATACGACGTCCACGCAGAAAAATACTTTATACTCCTCCCACCCTCCCACCCTCC